CAAACCAAGAGTCATTTGGCGGCTCCTCATAAACCTACCTCAGATCCTGGGTCATCAAGATGTGGCTGCTGGGAAAAAGCCCAAGCCCAGGTTCAGTTCCTGGAATCCGCAGAACGCTTCCCTGACATCAAGGGCCTGACTGAGCTGTGCCATCTGGCTTGTGCTCTACGAGTCCTCTGAGCCCACGCCTGCATGGGCCCGCCTTGAGGCGCTCTGAGGTGGGAGGTGAAGCACCTCTCTTCCCACCACACAGGTCCTGAATGAGTTCCTCCTGGCTGCATGGCAGCCCTCCCCGTTGTCTCTTTTGAAGGGCAAAGAGCTGAGGCCACCAGCCAAGGAACAGGGCGCAAAGCCCTAAAGAGAGGGAGCAGGTAAACGTCACCCCCTGAGTTGCAAGAAAGGGTAAAGTCACCGACCCTCAGCCTAATGAGGCAGAGGCCCCAAACAAACCTGGGGACAGACTGAGCTGAGCCCCCCTCCCTGTGAGCCCACCTCTGGGGTGTTCAGGCCAGGAGCAGAGCTGGGGCTGAGCAAGCTTGTTGGGGGGGGGAGGCGGGGGGACAGGGAAATACCAGTCGGAGGACGAATCACCAGGCAAGAGGTTGCCTAGGCCAAAAACACTTCCTCCGGGGGAGCTGGGATTTGATCACTGACCAAAAGCTTGATGCCTGGGGGATTCGGATCCCTCTGTCTTCCCAGACAGGGGTTCACGCGGAGGTGGCAAACTAGATCTTTCGTGACTCCTTTTATTTTTTTAAGATTTATTTATTTATTTATGCATACAGAACCGGGGTGTAGGCCAGAGGTGCAGAGTGGTGAGAGGATTCACCAGAGACAGATTAGGGAGCAGAACAAGCAGATGGACTGAAATCCACTGCTGAGGGCAGCAGCGGGTGGGTCAGGGGAGGTCTGCCGCGCATGTGGGTCAGCTCCCGGGCAGGGATCAAACCTGCACTGAAGCGGCTGTGGACAGTTTCATAGTGCTATGCTTTAATTCACCGCGCCACCAGGGAGGGCCTCGCGTGACTTCTTCTT